CTAAGGTTCGTAATGCTAGTAGCAGTAGTAGTAGCAGTAGGAGCCGGAGCAGCAGTAGCAGTAGGAGCCGGAGCAGCAGTAGCAGTAGTAGTAGTAGTAGTAGTAGTAGTAGTTGTAGTTGTAGTAGTAGTAGTTGTAGTAGTAGTAGTAGTAGTAGTAGTAGTAGTAGTAGCACTTGTTGTAGCAGTAGTAAGGGCCGCAGCAGCAGCAGCAGTGGTAGTCAGTAGTATCAGTAGCAGGAGCACCATCTGCATTGGGCAAAAAGTCATTGACTTGAGGTCAGTTTTTAATGTTTAATGCTTTCGGACTCTGCGCGTGCGCAACCAGCACCGCGTGCCGACCAAAGGTCGACGACCATGCCTGATGACTACGGGTGCGCTGCTAGCCCTTGTCTCAGTCAAGTCCACAGATTGCCTTACCAGATTCGCTGTCTACCGCTGGTAAATTTTCCATAGTTCTAGCGATCTTACGCACAGAAGAGCAGCCTCTACAGGGGCTCTGGTGCCTTGCGTCTCTACGAACTCGGAAGCAACATCCGAAAACCATGAGTCAGACAAGGCATTATATTGCCTGGCTTGAAAGCATTGGTTTTGTATTCAGCTTGCAGGCCTCGCTTTTGATGGCGACCGCGCTGCTGCTCCTGTCTAGACACAGCTTCACACAGGCCGGCAGGGCATGCGACTCGTTGGAGAATCGTGGTGCATGTGGTCAAGCCAGAGGATCGTTTTTCGACGCTAGTCGTTCCGTCGAAGCAGCGGGGGCCTAAGCATCGCTACTAGTAGGCAATTGCGCAATTGCAGTGACTCCGAGACTGCGAGAGTGTTTCCTTCCAACTCGCGAAGTCTGTTCTCCTAGAAGCGCGAGAAGCCCCACGCCTATACTTGAGCCCTTGACAAGGTTGCAGGACTACAACCAAGACATGACCTGCACACCAAAGTGCCCCGCCGCACGCCGACTCGCAGAGGACTGGTGACATGCGACATTAACATCCGAGTCCTTTGAATTCTCGATGTAGGAGCGAGCGAGAAGAGAAGAGTAAGTGGCAGAGAACCTGCGCATGCGTTCGTAGACAATGGATGGCGCTCTAAGTTCTGCAAGTCACGGAGCTACCGGAGTCTCGGGTGTCAGTTTTAACGAAGGCGCCCCAAGAAGCAGGTGAATCAGGTGAAAGCGTTTGACTTGAACATCTGCGACCGTGGCTAGTGATGTGTGCAGACAGGATTGTGTGTTGTGCACGCGTCTCCCTCAGTCCCTGGCCTGAAGAGGGCCTTGCGCTGGTCCGCAGACGTGTAGCATACTATTTCTAAACAGTTTTGTCCCGCCCTGTGTTCGTGCCATGATGCTCGCAAACACCTCGTTAGTACCTACCTACCTATCTACCTACCTACCGACCTACCGACTATCTACTCAGCCATCTAGCTACAAATCTAACGGAATCTAACGAAAATAATTCTGTGTAATCGCGCTAGTCGATTGTTTCATCTATCTATCCATGTACCTACCTATCTACCTATCTCTTGATCTACCCTGTGGGCTTGTTGGCTGCAGGGCCGCGTGGCTGCATTCCTCAACTTTTGAGTTCCCAGCGGCACGTCCTTGGTTCAGCGAAGCAGTTGTCAGCCCTACCTTCCGTCAGGAGCCTGAAGACGGCCTCACAAGCCTAGAGCCGCTTGGAGGCAAACTGTTTGAAGTTGTGCTTTGATTGTTGGAACGGCGGTCCAAGGCAATGCTTGGAGCGCTGCCCTTCGGTTGGGTTCATGGCGGCCATGGAGTTCGGCGATTGCAGGGCCAGCTGCGAAAGACGCCGGTCTGCCAGTAACGCAACACAACACATGACTGGCGATGTTTCGACGAGTCTCTATGCCGCTATGCCAAGGAAAGCATCCCGCGGCAGGCGGGCCATGCCATCGATGACTTTGCGAAGCTTGAGCGATAGCAGCTCTGTGATAGCAGTTCAAGCTCAGATAAGTGCAGGAAAGAAAGCTCCTGCCTCGGAGCCGCCTCTGGAAGGCTGGGACAGAATGCCACGTTTGCATTTCGTTTAGTGATGCCTGTTGGACTCTGGCAGTTGCACAGGATGCAAGCGCACATGCCGTCAGCACAAGGGCAACTTTTGGCACTTTCTGTGCGCCAGCTCCTTCTGAGTTTGCAACGGGGGCTTTGACTGTGGATTGATGCGTTCGGTGTTGCGTCGGGCAGGTACTCCAACTGTGCCAAAACCTGTGCTGCAAAGACGGCTCTCACTCAGGCATGCACCTTGCACAAATGCCGATGACAGACACCCGTGCAGAAGCAGAGAATTGCGCATCATGACAGACCAAAGGCTTGAAAGTCATGCAAGGTCCAGTATATGCAGAAGTACAACGTCTCCTTCGGGAAAGAAGGCGAAGAAGATCTGCAGGCGGAGGCCTGCGGTGGAGAAGACCATGGAACTCTACAGAAGTGCGTTCTAGCAGCTTCTATCAGACCGAGGTCACTGCACTGCTCAGGACGAGGCATGTTTGAGCTGAGAGTTTTCTGCTTGTAAACTTCGGTGCATGTCGCAGGTTCAAGTTCAAGAAGCGTTCCAGCAATCATCCCTTCAGCTTCACTTTGGAGACGTGCCCCTGGAAGATTGCGCGCGCTTGCCGCTAGAATCGAACACACCGGCATCCGCAACTAATGAACCAAGATGCATTCACAGCGACGCTGACATTTGTGGGGCAGGTCCATATTGCTCTGAGAGATTCGTACCTTGTTGGTTCCAGCTTCGACACTGCGACCGCTTCGATGTAACGTGTCCAGCGAGTTGAAAAAGATATCCAGCGTTGTCTAGGACAGCCTTCGGAGAGTTTTTAGGGCCGCAGATGGCCGGTGCCGAGCAAAGCTCACAAACAAAAAACTGAAGGTAGAGCAAGCAAAGGGTTCTTCCCACGAATGGAGCGAGTTGCCCGTGACAACCACATGTGACATTCTCTCCAGCAACACGCAGCACTCAGATAGTTTCCATGGCGACCACAGCCAGGTACCAGAACAAAGTTGCAGAGGCTTTAGCCAAGGTGTTGGAGATCCCGGAGAAAGCTCCGCCACCCAGAGTCGTGATCAGGCCGGGCTAGACGTGCGATATCTGATGGCGTTGTGCAAAAGAAGATGCTCCCAGGCAGTACCGACCTGGCATCCACCACGTGGTACCAAATGCACTTGGACTGCGCTGTGGACTGCGGAATGTGTATAATAATCCAGAAGCGGCAAAGCCTGTATTTGCAAACTGTGAGGTTTCCTACTAAAGCACGCAGAATTAGCGGGATGTGTAGCAAGACGGCTGAGGTCCTGATCAAGGACCCTGGCAACGACGTCGAAGCCGTCGTGGACATCAAGGCACCAAGATTTCCAAATCGACCACCGTCGAACTGCAGGCTAATCAGTTTGCAGTGGTGTTTGGACATACAGCTGACTGCAGAAGGGCCTGCCGATCTCTGACGTGAAGAAGCTGGGTGACAACTCCACACTCGAACAGATCGACAAGGCCGATTCGATAGATGTCAATATTCAGCTTTTCCGCTCTGTCCTGTCACCTTGTTTTACGCTATCTTGACAGTGCCCGTAAACTGGACTAGCGGCCACATCTTCAGATGATATCGAGGATTCGAGGCTGCTGCTGCCCAGCACGTGCCAGGAGTTGAAGATGTCGCTGGTCAGGGACGTGACAACCGTGGGACTTGCGGAAGTGTCGCCAATGGCCTTCTGGCAGAAAGTGCTCTCACCGAGTTTTGCACCCTGTGGCATTGTGCGATCTCAGGAAGCCCTGGAAAGCACCTCCTCTTCAATCCAGGGAGACTTCATGTCTCTGGGCACCTTGACTCATTGGCTCGTTGACTTCGTGACGACACTTGCCTGTGTGGTTCGTTCAAGCGCAGAGCTTACCACGCCGGCGACTGGCTCGAGGCTGGCACACGGTGTGTCGAATCAACGAGGCAGGCAGCAGGCAGTCTTTGTCAAGGGGAGTAATTGGCTAGGTGGTCAGCTTTCCCTTTCCGAAGGCTGATACGACCTTCGATGGCCAAGGGAAGGTGTGTCTGGGCTTTGCAAGTTGCATGAGACCGGACCGAGCCATCTCGCTATGGGGATGTCCCAAAAAAGCTCTGGGCCTAGGAGAGTCGTGCATGGGCAATCCTTGCGCCAATGCTCCATGTTCCGACCTCAGACTCGGAAAGAAGCGACCCTTATGAACGTACATTCTCTAAAGTTGGGCTAGAGAGCTGGCGACCGTGAGACTCGGGCACTCTGGTGATTTCGGCTTTAAAGCACGGGCCATTTGCCGAAGAAACCCCATTTCGGCACTTGGCGCGGAAAATGCTCATGGACAGCGCCTCCGCATTCGCATCAAGATGAGACGCTGGACAGCGGCGCTTGTTCTGATCTGGTTGTGCCCACCTTACCTGTGGAGCATGGGTGCACCGCATGTGTCGCATGTGTGCCTGCCAGTCCGGCTCATGTCCTTAACGATGCAAAGGTGCTTGGCCGAGGAGGAGCAGGCGAATTGTGCGGAAGAGGTTGAACGGAAGGAGGAGCACGACGCTAAGAGCCGCCTCGCTAGGGAGGAAGATGGGGCAACTCGGAAGCCTACATGCCGCATGCCGTGTTGTATCTTCTGAGGTCGGAGACGGAGTCCCTTCGTGTGCAGCTGTTGCAGCAACGCGAGTTTCGACTGCAGCGAGGGCCTCTCACAACGGCAGAGGCTCGCCGACCCGTTTTGACAATCATCGTCCTCATGAAGTGCCGGATTAAACTGCACACGCTATGCAGGTTCCTGCGAAGCAGCAATTCAGCTTGCCTGTGGCAAAAGCTTTCGCAACTGTCAGCCAAGCAGCCTTTTGCGACTTGGCTCCGCTTCCGATGGTATTGCCAAACTCGTTGTGATCACCTGTGTAGCAGGGGGCACGAGCAACTCTCCTGTCAAGTAGGCGGGGCTGACGAAGAGCTACGCAACTGGACTTGCAAGGCAGGTCGGGCACTTGGATTCGCATGGCAGATAGTGGTCTAAGCTTGATGTGAGAGGCCTGCCGAGATGTCGGGTTTTCACTAACCTTGGGCACTCGGCGGCTGGTACGGCAGGTCAGGAGCTGCTGTTCAAAAAGCTCTGAAGACAGATTTGATTGAATTTTAGCAAAGTTCCCCCAGACTGCGGCAAGCCTTGCCAGGCAGAATTGGGCGAGGCGGATTCCACCTTCGTCTTTGTGTCGCGTGCGGAATGGATGCCAGAGAAGCCCGAAGCAGAGTGGCTGTGGCCACCTGCGAGGGCCAAGGAACCTCTGAAGCACGGCGGCCAGGACACGACTGCAAAGGCACTGGCATGGTAGATTCTCATTCCGCGTGCGACGCACACAACATGGGAGGATTGTTACGCTCATTGTGGTCAGCTTGGCGGCTTCTGTGCCTGGTGCGGCGTGGGAAATGCATGCTGCCGGAAAGATGAGGCAGGCAGATTCAGGGCTCATGAGAGCTGAACTTCTGTAGGCTCAGACATTCAGGCGATTGCACAAGTCCTGATGCAAAAAGAGAGATTCAGGGCTCTAAGCCATTAAAAACTCACATGATTATACGCAGGCCATGCCCGACTCACAATTAATTCCAAGACTGTGCATCAGTGTCCACCAGCTCAGTAGCATCTATAACATCTAGTTACGCTTTGTTGCGGCGAGGCCGGAGACCCAGCGGAATGTGCCAACGCGACCGGGTTCATCGGTTCTGAGTACCACGATACTGGCTTGCAGGGGAGAAGCGGGATCTTGTACTGCGCCGTGGAGTTAAACTTGTTTCTGCCCCGAGGAGTGTGTGGCCGTGGCAGAACCGGTTGCTCGAACGCCAATGAGGTTAACCTCGGACCTGACACCACACCAGTCACCTAGACGCTCACGTGCAATCCTCTTGCGAAAAGCTACAGATCTCTGACAAGAGAGAGTCGAGTCACGACAAGGTCAACAGGAAACCCGTCCTGCATGGAGGTGAGGATTGTTGGCTGTACTGCGGCAAGGCGCGGGTCCTCTCAAAAGCCTAGAAGTACAAGGGCGTGCGCCTTGCGCAGTGTGAAGGCTGGCGGTTTCTGCGACTGGTGTGGTGCGGGAAACGCTTGCTGTAGGCATCTTGGTGACGACTAATCCCTTCCCAAATTTATTTCATGCCCCTAGATTGAATAATAAAACAACTTTTCCGAACACGAGCTTGAACTCATCCCCGCATTCAGGTTTGTCCTAGCCAGGTGGGAGACGAAAAAACAATCACCGCTGTTTAACCCTAAATTATTACAGGGAGAAAGAGCAGGAACAAGAGCAAGAGCAGGAGCCAGAGCACAGGAGCAAAAGGTTAAAGCCAGAGCAGGAGCAGGAGCAAGATCCCTCAGAAGTGACGGTGAGATAACAACACCCCCTAATCATACAACTGATAAACTTTCTGAGTTTTTGTTGGGTGGAGTGGAGGGCCCGCCCTCCGGTAACATTAGGGGGAAGGGATTGCTTAGCATCTGCACGGTACTAAGGCTTCCGAGTAGTGTTCTCAGGAGTGGTTATGACAAGGATCCGCTTGAATGCCGTGGGGCTGCAGCCAGGGGCTCGGCTTGCTCTCGAGCAGGTAGATGTTGATGGAGGAAGACTCATAGCCGTGCTCACGACTAACGAGATTTTCGGGGTGAGGCCAACTCTTCCCACCACGTATGCACCGCACCGGCACGAAATGTGCCGCAGCCAACCACTAAGCGAGAGTTCGGCTGCATCCTGTCAATCAGAGGCACGGTGTTTTTCGCCATCTCTTGCGTGCTGGTAGTCAACATGAACATGTGGCTGGTTCAAGAGTTCATGTAAACACCTTACCCCCAACACGCGAGGCTCCAAGACGTTTACAAATGCCTTGCACGATGCCTTCTTTTGGAGTGACGAGCTCCCAGTGCAGGACCTGCTCGCATGTGGGTTCGTATTGTCACTGGCTTGGTTGCGACGTCAGGGTGGCCAGATATCGTTGGTTTTCCCAACGAGGGCCAGCCTCAAAATTATGAAACGAACATCCCCGCACCCAACTAATGTAAAACGGGGGGGGGTGCTCTTTCGGGGGGTCTTTGAAATCCCCAGGGAATAATGTAAAACGGGGGGGGGTCGGATTGACAGCCATAAAAGTCCAAAGTCTGACCCTTGATCGCGCAGGTCTGACGAAAGCATGCCCTGCATGCAATACGCATGTCCGCATTGCAGTTTAAATTTGCAGTCGAGGCAGCATGCACGAGGCTGGGGCCCGTCAGTGCGGACAGTTAGCATGTGCAGCCAAGAACCACGGCTACAGTGTTACACTGTGAAGCAGTCCGCATTGCAGGCGACGGAGGCATAGACAATGCATAGTGACCCCCCCTCCGTTTTACATTGCGCCCTCCCCCGAATATGAGATCGGCTCCTGGTAGTATAGCTTACGAATGTTGAAAACAGGTACGAGTACAGGAAGACTGGTGAGGCGGCATCAACGTATGTCGCAACCCCCCTCGTTTTACATTACCCCGCGCCTCCCATTTGGCCCAGCTCCAATCTTGACAGAAGGAACACATCCTTTCGTCAAGCTATTGAGGGAGATTAACCGAGATGCGCCGAAGCTGCTTCTAGTTGCTTAGATCCATGTCTCGTTACAGATTGCAAATTCAAGCTCTGTGCCATCAGAGCTGTCCTCCTGCGCGCTCCCATGCGAAATCATGCGAACATGTCGACGTGACCAACCTAGTCCGAAGGGTGTGTTTTACATTAATTTCTCGCTAGTGATCCCCAGGCATTAATGTAAAACGCGGGGGGGCCTCTTATTTTGGGTTGGGCGTGGGGATAAACGAACGCGAACGTCACTAAGCCCTGAAAAACCGGTTCCACTCGAACAGGAGTGTGATGGATGTCAAGTATTCGATGGCTTCTGGCGAGTGTGGTCCGGCGTAGAAGCGAAGCTTGGGATGCCTGGCTGCAGTACGATCCATGATTTCATCTGGAGTCTTGCCGCCTGTCGCCTTAATCCCATACGAGACGTCCGTCAGCAGCATAACCCATGCTATGCAGAGCTTTCGTGCGTAGATATCTAAGACAGGCGAGTCCTCATTGACAACGGCTGCATTCCAGGCACTGCTGCCGGGGCGTAGATGCCTCTTTCACGTCATGCCGCAGAAACAGCCCGGATGACAGGCACGGAGCATGGCACCATCCTCCTCACAGGACATTCGTTGGGCGCTGCCGTGGCAACCATTGGCATGTACATGCTGCTTCTGGGCAGAATTGGAGAGAGTTTCCGAAGTTTCAGCAGAGGTGCACAGCGCAGCATGCAGAGATTCATGTCCACCCATGTTCAAGCTTTCCTGGGCAACTCCGAGGCAGCTTCGAGGTTACAGCGTGGGTTTGTCCTACAATTTCGAGTCGCCCCGGGTTGGCAACGAAGCTTTCCACGATGCATTTGCACCTGGGCATCAGTATTGGAATGCACAAGCAGCCAGGTGCAGCTAGGATCCTTAGAGGAAGTCGGCTGGCAGTTAGCTGCAGCTAGCTTTCTTTCCGCAGTGTGAAAGGGCATATGGCCACCCATCCTCAACCGACCCTTGCAGGCACCCCTGTGCTGAGTCAGGATGTGATGTTCGGTCGAAAAGTGGATCTCTGGCGAATCACACGGTCATGGGACCCGGTTCCTCACGTTCCACCGCTTCCGATCTATCACCATGTTGGATCCGAAGCCTACTTTCCAAAGGATGCCAAGTGTCTTGGCAGAATAGCGCGACCAGTTCTAGACATGAGGCACACAGTGGCCGAAACAGGGAGATACCGAGCACTTCAAGAAAACTAAGGGAGCCTGTGGTGTGCCTGGAATCAGAGGACTCCAAATGCACCTCGGCGTCCCCATGCATCCATGCCGCTCCCAATTTTCTCCCACGACGCAGTATGGTAAACAGGTGCAGATAGATATTCCCTTCTGGAAACACTGATTTTCGGCGATGCCCTCAGTCCTTGTGTAATATGTGTCCATGTCGGTGCCATCGTGAACAATTTGTTCACCACATCCGGCATTGAGCTGCCATGCATGAGGTTGGGACCACTGCAAGTCTGAACTAGCTGCTCCCGGCCGTGGCTTTGGCGAAGGTATTTGTCAATGCGCCGCTGAATGAAAGGACGGCAGCAAATGCAGATGCATGATGGCGCAGGAGAAAACGATCGGTTGCATGCGTGTTGCTCTCGCCACGGTCAACATAACGGAACAACTCGCCTGATTTCACATCGTGCCAGTGGGTGAATTACCAAGCGTCTTCACTGATAAGGTTGTGCAATGATTGGAACATATTCTGCTACGGCTTTGAGTTCCGCAGCAAGACCGGGCGCTGCGCGGCTCGTCTGAACGCGGTTTGACTGTGTCGGGTGCTAGTTAGCTTGCCCACACACACCAATCGTGCGCGTGAAATGTTGTTTTCGGGTGTTCCCTGCAAGGAGATTTGGACGATGCCAATTTGCGGTCACAGCCAGGTGCGGCCCATGTGACTGAGACCTCTCGGCTCAAATGCCGTGATAGCCGCACGAGCTAACGAATCAGATTCATGTTTCCGGTTCCGGTCTCCAGACTCCAGACTCACAGACGGCGCATTACGCCAGGCGAACGTTCCCGGTTCGCCATTTGTGGATTTCCGATGCTTCAAGCGCTGCCATCCTTGCAGGGACCCCAAGATAGATCGAGCAGCGGTCGAGGAATGCCGTCGTTTCGTTCGTCTGGACCTCCCACATGTGTGAGATTCTATGGCATGTATCAAGGAGTTTATGAGACGGAAAGGTCGCCCATGCCCTGCAGTTATACCAACAACCATGTGTGCAAAATTACTGCCAAGGAAATAGAGCAGCATGGGCCGCGATGAGTTTCAAGATCAGTCATGGGCAGTTGTTGCCGCCGTAGACTGGAAGGCTTCTGATGGGTAGGCGTTTTCAACTGAAGTCCGCGGATGGTAAGCATACGGCATGCCAATGTGCAAGCCGGTGGCCATTCTGCACGTCTTCTGACCCATCTTCAAGGGCGAAGCCCTGTTGAAGACTGCGTCTCACACAGAAGCCTGCGAGCATCGATGTTTCATTGCCACGACTTCCTGCCGGTGACCGGCTACCAAAATAGAGATGAGCTTTTTGCACTTCAATCGGCTATCGGAGCCAGTGTCACCTGCCGGCGAGTAATTCGAGAGGATCTGCATGGTCTCTATGTGGAGTCAGAGAAATCATCGGACTCATGTTCAGCAACTCCCCTAGAAGGCTGGCTATCTTGGCGGAAGCACAGCAGGGCGGCTAAATCCAAGTGGTCAAAATGGGGTGAGCATCGTGTTGGCCTTGCCGTGTAGCGTGTGGGTGCATGCTTGCGGGGCTGCATGAATGCCAAAAAAAAGGTCCAAAATTAAGTCGCTGAAACCAGCTGATAGCAGCACTTTGGGCTCCAGGGCAACATCCGGTGCACGCAGATCAGGGCTAAAAGGCAGGAAGCAGCACTTTCCAGCTGAAGAGACTCTTTGGAAAAACGCTGTGAGCTGGCTGTTCTGCACCCGTTCTGCATTGTCATCGACATGCATGTTGCTTGAGATTAAGGAGTCGCACCCTGTATGAAGCTGACTGCGTTGCCACCGGCAGGTGAACATGGCGAAGGTGCATCGATCACCGTTGGCGGTGTTGCTGCTGGCAGCTGCGTGCTACGTCCTGAGCTTCGCGCCGGGCTTCGTCGCGCCGACGGAGGTCACTCTTACCGCTGCCGAAGCAGTTGTGGGAGCTGCAGCCACTGGCTTGGCACCACTCAATGAGGCAAGCTCCATGCTCACCGCCGACCTGTCCCCGTTGGAGAACCCTAACATCACCTTCGTGGTGCTGCTGTCCATGTTCTCCATGTCGATTGCCCTGGTTGTGTGGGGACGCAACGGCTTCTGAGCTTGCCGCTATGATTCCTTCTCCAGCTTGTGAAAGCCCATTGACGGCACACCGAGAAGAGCAAAAGACTGGCGAGGGTGGAGATAAGATTACCAGGCAAACCCTAACTTCCTGCATGGCTCTAGGAGATACGGCCAGTGCTAGTTGTCTTTGATGTTTGAGCTCTCCAGTGACCCTTGTGGGTTGCGAATGAGCAAGATAAGCAAATGAGAATCTTTACAGAGCTAGAAATATGATTGAGGCACGTTGCTCTTTTAAAAGCATGTGCTGCCTGTGTGGGCTCGAAGAGAACGGGTCGCAGGGAGGAATTGCGTGCGCGGAGGCAGAGGTGTTTATTTCCATGTGCTGTTCCAAGTGTTCGACGTTCCTTTTTTGGCTAATGTTATTGATGCAGTTATGTATACGACGTTGCCACCGGCAGGTGAACATGGCGAAGGTGCATCGATCACCGTTGGCGGTGTTGCTGCTGGCAGCTGCGTGCTACGTCCTGAGCTTCGCGCCGGGCTTCGTCGCGCCGACGGGGGTCACTCATACCGCTGCCGAAGCAGTTGTGGGAGCTGCAGCCACTGGCTTGGCACCACTCAATGAGGCAAGCTCCATGCTCACCGCCGACCTGTCCCCGTTGGAGAACCCTAACATCACCTTCGTGGTGCTGCTGTCCATGTTCTCCATGTCGATTGCCCTGGTGGTGTGGGGACGCAACGGCTTCTGAGTTCCCACAGACATGTTTTCCCAACCGTCCGACCATTTCGCCCCTGTCGGCAAAAACCAGTGAAGTTTTTTGGGCGCATGAAGCTCGAGTGTCGCCAAGTGAGTCCGAGGGATTAGTTTCTGCATTCCACACACTTTTCAGCTTCAGGTTCGCACAAGCTGATGCAGCTGGACTGTTCAAGCGGATTTTCGGAGGATTTGCAATCGTTGTCTTCCTTGATTCCTTGGCACGAGACAAGGAGGGCTCCGGCGGACCTGTGTGGAATTGTTTGGCTCGCAGGGCGACATTGCCCTTCAGGATAAGAACTACCCAGTAGACAACTTGGTATGGCATCGTTGCATCACAGCTTGACACAGTTTTGAAGCTTGTGCTAGCTGCCTTGCCGCAGCGGTTGACTTGTGCAGATGGACATCTAGGCGCTTTGCAAGACAAGCTTCGTCTCGTGGGCAAGCCAATCCAAGCCATGTCGTAGAGCTTCCGGTATGTGAGCTATGCCCGCAGAGCTGCCTGGTTGCACCCGAGGGCCCCCTGTTGCATAGTAGCTTACTGCATTCTCAGCTCAAACTCTGGCCTAAACGGCTCCGAGTCGAACTCTTGGGGGCTTTTGAAGCTGGAAACAATCCAAGGCTACTGCTGCGGTGCAAGAAGGGGCACGCCGTCAAAGAGCTGAAGGCCGACTTGGACGCTGGATCAGTGCTGCCTGAGTTATTTTTATTATGATGATGATTCTTATCATTATTGTTAATATTAGTATTACTACTAATATTATGGTGCTTCAGAGCTGCGAAAGCTGTGTCGAAAACACGCGGTCTTGACTGTTGAATATTGCTGATTCGGGCGGTTCCCATAGAGTGGCCTGCCTATGGCCAGTCACGCAGGAGAGCGATAAACGATGGAACCCGTTCTTGCACACGGCTGCTTGGCAGAATCATTCATATGGTATTGGTTTGACTCGGCAAAATGCGAACAGTCGAGTCTGTTGAAGAATGTGGACCTGCATAAGGTATGCAGCGTTTGCGGTGGGAGCATTGCCGCCCTTCTGATTTAGTTGTGCACCATATGTCATACCTGTGCGTCGGCCTCGCAAGATCTTTTGGGAAGATCTCAACAGGAATTAGGAGGGTGATGATTCCGTGAAGCGTTTGATCTTGTCTTGAGGCAGCGGCCTCTGCAAGATCCTTTGCCTTTGAGTATTCTAACGACCACACGCCTGGCTGCCTCGCTCTTTGAGTGCCTGGCATGCCAGCAAGACGAGGCCAGCCAGACCGCGCGGTGGTCTTGCGAGTACCACTGCAGCACAGTCTGCGACGCTTGCGTGACTTGAGCTTCAAGTTGCCTCTGGTTGCTTCTCTCACGGCTGTAGCTCATACTCCATGAGAGTTTGCACGCACAAACTGACTGTAGCTTTAAAAGGCTTTAGCCATGCACAGAAGCAGCTAGGTGATGCAGCAGTTCCAGATGCTTCTCGTTGAATTGCAGCAAAGCTCTCTGCATGTCGCACACAATGGTGGCCCCTCCGGCTTGAACTAAGATGAACTAAGCGTGTTCTGTCTGGTATGTTTTCAGCTGTTTTTTGCTTGTCCGTCCAGCATCACAGGTATCAAGTATCAAGGTCGATGTAGTTAGTTTCTGAAGGATGGTCTGAATTCGTTTATCCTCGCCGCAACGTGTGTTGCAGGTCCAGCGGTCGTCAAGGAAGTCGAGGCTATTCCGTGGGAGCTACGTGGGACCAAGGAATTCAACCAGCTGCGGAAGCTGTTGCAGCAGGCGTGTTGGCTGAAAGCAAGACACGTCACTCCATAAGCCCACAGGTATCACAGTCCCTCAGCTCCCAGAAGTCTTGTGCAATGGGTTCGTAAGCTTTTCAAGGCCTCTCCACAAGCTCAGGACTCCAAGCCTTTCCCTCATGCCTTTGGAATTGCAGCTTGGATGCACAACTCTACATCACCACTTACTGATGCGGTTCACAGGGTGACATCGGATGCCACTGCAACATAGTATAACATGATCTCAGGTGCTCCAGGGCGCCTCCTAGCCGCAATCTGCGAAGGGGGCTAGCGATATCCGTGCAATAAGAGCCATGTATTCTGCTCCAAGTGCTGGCCGAGGCAGTCAATGTTCCAGAGCTTTGCAGAAGTTGCGGCCTTAACTGTTGGCCATGATGGGCCAAGCGTGCCTTGCACAGAGAGTCAGCGTCGCATCTCTTACCCTTTCGTTCTTCCCAGGGAGGCGTTCAACTGGCCCTCGCGCTTCCGCGACCATCCTGGCTCCAGCAGCAGCTGCTGGCGCTTTTTGCGGAGGGCCTGGGGCTGTAGTTGGATTGGCGGTGGGGGCGACTGCATACGGCCTCTCGGACGGCAAGACTCAACGTCACGAGGAGTTTCTCTTTACTTGCCTTGAGCCTTGAAGCGAGGCGTGTCGCGGGGAGCAATGCAAGCCAAGTATCCAGATGGCACCATGGCCGCACTGAGCTGAAGCCGGCCTTGTGCCATGGGCCCCCGCTGATCCATGACAGACGAGGCTTCTGCGATCCTGTGGTCCTGGTCGAGGTCTTGGACGGAGACGGAGAGACTTTGGCAGCGGCCAGGCCCGGCCCGCAGCGAGCTCTCAAGCCGTTCAGAGCCGCCTCAGCCTTTCAGGTCTCACATGGCCACCAAGACCAGAAACCCGGAAGCTCGGCTGCGGCTTTCTCCTTGCAAGTCGGCATCGTAACGGCATGTAACGGCACGAGGCGGTTGTGCTGCCGCAGACACTGATTGGGTCGAGTTACCCGTTTTGACTAGTTCTGTTGAGGACAGGAACGGTGATAGCTCTGAACTCGACCTTGAAAATAGCCCAGCCGATGCACCCAACAGGCCTTCAGCCGAAGCTAACGAAGCGCAGTGTGCCCACATCCACATGCCACAAGATGATCTCACAAGGTCTGGAACCAAACATTGAGTTTGCCATGTGCTAGCGACATGCAGCTGGCACAACAGCAGGGGAAGCTTGGCTCAATCTATGTGCGGTCCAGGGAGACCAGGCTGCTTCGACCCCATGGAGTCTTCTCTTTCGCTGCAGGTGCTCGTGGCGCAAACGCGTCGGCCCAAAACAAGCTTCTTTTTCTACTTGTCGTGGCCATCCCTGATCCATCCTGGTTTCTTGAGAGTAGGCTCTTCGGTCTCGTAGCCGCTAGCCTATTACTAAGATCGGAAGAGTGTCAAGCTGGCTGCTGCTCAAAATGTGCCTCCAGATCAGCATCTCGCCTGCGATTATGATGTGTTCTTGCCTGCGTAAGCATCATGTACATGCATGGTCCGAATGGTGGTTCTTTGGAGGTTTCACCAAACTTGCTTCAGCTACGCCAGGTGGGATGTTGCCAGCACAACTGTCCGTGTCACGCTCTATGACAAGAGCGTCGGACCGATGGACCAGACGATCGGGGCTCCTGGGCTTTGGTTGCGTAATGCCGGCGACGCGGCGACTGCGAGCGCTCTGGGTGGAATCAGGAAGTTTCGGTTCCGCTGCCGCAACTTCTCGAGGATTCTCAGGAGAGCGATGCTTCTCTGCTCTGCTGTCAAGACTCTGAAGTCAGTGGCAGTTCTGCAGCAGGACACGTACTTGGTCAGCGATGCGTGGCACGAAGCAGTCTTAGGAACTCAGCAGCCGCAACTCGGCATTGTGACAGAGCCACGATTGCAACATCCCAGCAGGAAAAGACACAACAAACATCATACATAAATCATAGGTCGGCATCGGCAAGCAGATTGGGACTTGCGCTGGCCAGGGAGTAGGGCTGACATGAGCAAGTACCTGCTGCAGCGCGTCCTCTGATCGCTTCTGTTACATGCCGCTTTCGCCTGCTAGGCACTTGCCGTGCAAAGTTTCCTTGTCTGCTCATCCCTCAGCATTTCAACAGTCACGGGATGTCACGGGTGGACTTCTCCAGTGCAGTCCTTCACAATTGAGGTCGTTCAAGAGTCATTGCCGAAAAACTGGCCCGTGGCGCAGGCAAAGAACGACCGAGGGCAAAGGCATTCCGGCAAGCACGGACATGCAAGGACAAAAGCACCGTCTGCGTGCCTTCGTGGGCAATGTTCAGATATACGCGCAGAGCATTTTTGGCACCCCAGGTACCCGATGCATGCTGCTAAGCGGCATTAGAAGCACGCCGACCGGTTTGTTGGCAACTGCTTTGAAAAGTTTTCGTCTGCAGCGAAGGCCGATGTGCGTTGCTAAGGAAGACCATCTTTGTTGTCTGCAAAGAGTCGGCAGGAGCATCAATGAAGGGTATGTGTAGCCTCTAATGAGGTGTTTATGATGACGCGTGGCACGCGCGGTGATGTGCAGCCCTTTGTGGCACTGGCACGGGGACTGGCCGAGCAGCTGGGCTGGCTGGTGGCTTCGATGCATGTACCATGCGATCCACCGAGTTTCAGGTCACATGAGTCACTCCTCCATAGGAGAGAGCATCAGCTACAGTGCGCTAGTCCTGCAAGGTCACAATCTGCACGGAACAGAGCCATGCAGCCTTCGTAAGAAAGCACTCGGTCTCGTGGCTTTAATTTGGGAAGAATCGGCACCAAGCTCATGGTGCCATTATGCTGTCATTTGAGGACGTCCATAGCGGCAAGATCAGATTTCGGCCTAGCGGTGGGAACACTGAGGCCAATGGACTGAGGGCGGGCAGTTAACCACTTAAGAAAGCTGATCTGAGTCTGGGTTCAAAACAGAAAGCTGAGAGCTTATTGCAGCTGCACTAGGCAAGAATGGACAGTGTGGGCGCGCATTTCTTGCTCACACATCGTGCTGAATTCTTGCAGATGCTGCTTGACGGCACAAATCTCCTGGAGTTGCAGCCGAACTCTGTGACTGGCTGCTGTGTCTCCCGTGCATTAAATCAAGAGCTACAGGATCGCCCTGGCAAGATCAGAAGCCGACGCTTGTCTCTAAAATTATTCTCGAGGCCTCGGTTGCGCTTGTGTGAAAGGAGTTTTTCTCCAGTGCTACGGTCTTCGTCGATTATGTCAGAGCTATGGAGACTGAGCCCAAGCCCGTGGATCTAATCATGTTTGGCAGCTTGGCGTGAGCCACTGTTGATGAGCATGGGGCAATCTCTGCTGGCACAACCACCATGCAGAGACAGAAAGGACAGAGTAGAAAGCTCAATTTATCGTCCAACTGCTTTTTCACGTTCCATGTCGACCGCAGGCGGTATTGTGGAGGCAGCAAGGCTGCTCATGCGCCGGTGTTGCGTTGTCGGTCTCAGGCTTCACATTGGCGGGAGTCGCAGCACTGGTCGGCGAGCACTGCCGCAAGCCAGTGGTAGGCCCTCACCTCAAATGAAGACGTGAAAATCAGGCCCTCGAACACAATGAAGCTAAATTCAACGAGCTGAGGCTTTATTTTACAGCCAAGCTGCATACCGAGCAAGGAGGAGGCAGGTCAAGCTGCATCATGTTGGAGAAGAGACCACAGCTGCGCAGGATTGGAAAGCAGTGCAGCCCATTCATAGCCCGGACGGTCAAAGTCTTCTCGCCTGGCCCCTAGCGCACTGCGCATGACAACCCAGACTGCATTATGGTTTGCACTCTTGAGACATGTTCCTGCCACGGCCCATGCTAACTACCACCTGTGAGCCACGTTGAAAAACGGCTGATTTAGATGTGGAGCTCGGTAAGGACACCGTCGACGAGATGGCGTTTACGTCCCACAACTCTTTAAAACTATTGAAGGACAGCTACTTCAACAGGGGGGCGGAGACGGCACTGACCACTATAGTTGATTGAATCGTCCTGAGGACCTTGCGGAAAAGAACCCCTTTGCATCTTGGTGCTTCGGCTCATGAGTTGTCCTTGTGATGAAACGAGAGCCTCCTAGCCCCCGTACCGACTGAGGAATTTGAATCATCTCCGCAAGCTCTTCGGGCTCGGTCCGACGGACACATGGCAGGTTTTCATCTGCAGCGTGTAGAATGGCAACTCCGGGTCTGGCCCTGGTGTCCTGGAGGCTTACAACCAGGCAAGGGTTCCTATCATCATCCCAATGCCGGCGGGTACGTTTCAGCGGCCTCAGGACTACGGTGCACGACATGATACGACATGTCAGCTGTCGCAAGTAGCAAGTGGTACTTTATGTCGACGAGCTTTCCGCCCCAGAGCCTGCGCAATCTCATAGCCCGGAGCCAGGACTGGCCTGACAACATTATCCAGACCGATTTCATTTTTCTGCGAAACCAGGCCCGGTCTGGAATCATCAAGTTGAAAACAGCCTTTGTTTCTTCCGTGCACTTTGAAAAGGGTCTCGCGGGAAGATGATAACAGCAGTAAGTTTTTGGCCCTGCCAGGCTGGTACGGGCAGGCACTTGCCTCAGTGCTCATGGCTACTTTTGCATGAAAAGCACAAATTTCCAGGACATGTTGTTGGAAGATTTCGTACATTTGTGTGTGTGCGCACGATGCAGGAAATCGTTGGGAGAAGTTGGCGACTTCGTCGAGGCCGCAAGGCAGCGTGGTTAAGTTAAATCTGCTATGTTTGCTGCTGCCCGCTAGCGCATGAGGAGTCCATCCCAAGATGCCGTATTATGTATCTCTATAGGCGAGGTAAGTTGGAAGTTGGAATGCGCCAGGCAAGAAGGGAAGAAGCTTTGCCTCATCACCTTCAGCAGTATGCCTGTTCCCCGCCGTACCTTGCTTCGCGCGGGACTCATTTCGGCACCTCGAGAGGAAGAGCCATCTCAGTGCACCATACGTAGGCTTGTCGAGCATGTCACAGTCCAATTCCATGGCTCCCAGGAATTATTGTCAAGATGCTGAATGCGCCCTATCTGCATCCACATTCAAGGCATTGGGCCAACATTGCCTCTGAACCAAGCTCCACATGTGGAACCCGCATGGCAATAGGAAGCAGCCACTCGCCAAAAGTCACCCTGCCCAGGAAGCCAGCTTCCCTGTCTCCGTGATCTACGTCGGGCGCATCGATGAAGGGCAACCTGGCCAGCACGAGGAAGACAGCAGACGAGACCGAGTCCAGGTGTTGTGCAACTCCTGACAGGCCTGAAGACCTCGAAAACGCAGCTCGCCAGTTCAAAGAGACCGGGCGCTTCTTTGAAGCACGAGCTGCTCCTTGGTAGACAATGGTTCATCCTTCGAGACAGCCTTAAAGGCTCTGGCTTGCTCGGAGCCAGGTGGACTTTGGCCTTCTCTTTCCCGAGATGGATTGCTTTGTAGTTCATGGTGGGCTTGGGACAACTGTCGAGGCTTTGCGAACCAGACGCTTGCTCAAAAGGAATGGAGTGAGATAGAGTGATGGCACTGCTTTCCGTCTTGGGTCGGCTCAATCACAGCACTCTGATGCATGTTCCGTCAGGAAAGCCATGCTGTGTCACAGGGCCATTGCTAATGGATCAACGCTTCTGGGGTCTCCTGGCCTGGAAGTTTCCTCGATGTGACACTGTTGGCGTCCCTCTGTGATCCTCTGCGTGTGCAAGGCTACGTCTGTCATGAAAAAGGTGTTGGTCCGAAGCCAGTGTGTCCACCTCAGATGCTTTTCCAAAAGCAGAGTACACAAGTCCTACTTCATAGGGTTGCTTTGCGTGGCTGAATGCCTGCAGTGTTGGCTGCTGACGTGCTGTTCGGATTTGTCCGCAGGTTCATCGCAGACTTTGAGAAGCACTGTGTGGATTTCGTGAACAATGCAGTGGACCCTGAAGGTCGCAGCCGTGAAAGATCGGAGCACCAAAGCTATGCTTTGTCTCTGTAGGCTTCTATAGATGTGAGGAGCGAGATAGAGAGAGAGAGAGAGAGAAGAGTTCAGGGATGTTTCTCAGCCGTATATGCTCTTGCTGCTTTGTCTGTCCCATGCACTACGCTATATGGCTTCACGAAGCAGGATAACACAGCTCGAAAGGAGATAAAGGCCCCGTAAGCCTAGGATCAAGCTAGCTCCCCTGCCTTTATGCTGCGGAAACAAAGATCGGCGCAGAAAATCCAGAGACTGGCTGCTCACAAAGAACCTGCCGCTGCCTCAACAGATCCGGAGCATTGGCAAGCAAACGCTCGCGACTCTGACTGGGGGCAGCATGGTCGCAGGTAATGTGCAGGCTCAGCAGGCCTCATGCATTCTTCTCTATGGTGCTGGTGACCAGGAAAGTGCAAGATGATGGCGTTGAGGCAAATGTCAACTGCATCCAGGGATTGCTTTCAGAACTGGAGCCCTTAGTGACCAGAAGCGAGGCCGGACAAGTCGTGATGCCATAGGTTCATTCCTGTTCCCCATGACCAGATTGCCAAACGTCTGATTTGATATCAGGTGCATGACGATTCTTGGATGATGCAGAAATCATGGCTTTGCTGCAGCTCCGGTCGCGTCACTGAGCCTGACGCACCCGAAGAGATATCGTCGGAGGATGCATCCTCAAGACAGACACACAGGCCTGCAAAGCTGGGACCCAGGTCACTACGCACTTCAGCTTTCGTTGATTTGGCATAATTAGTTGCATAGTTTCCTTGCCCTGATAAGCCAGCAGCGGGCTGTCCACAATAGCTTCCTGATTCTTACACAGAGCAATCGTTGTGGGGTTCCGTCGCGCGGTTTGCGCCAAATCTATCGTCAACTAATCTTGGAGGCCAAAAAGACTTGAATTAGCAGATCTCATAGAAGTTGCTGGTCAGGTGTGCCGCCTGTGTGCGCTCAAGCTCTGCAGGCTCTTCGCTGCTTGCAGCCGCAAGTCCTGAGGTTTGCATCATTGGAAGACGTTCATCCACTCTCATGGCCAAGGGTGGCATAGGGTCCAAATAGCCAGCTGCTTCAGCCCTCAACCCGAACCCGTTCCTCTCGCACGGGGCTGGCTGTTTTGTTGTCTGTTTGTCTTGCTTCGGGCTTGCGTCAGGCCCAGAGACTTCGCCCTGCAGCTCGCCTGTAGCGCGACGACACTGTGCATTGAGGCCCATCGCAGCGTGGGTGCAAAATTGAAGCCCGCTGCCCTCTTTACTCGAACGCAGGGCGGCATCGTCGCACTGGAGGTTGGGGTGCTGTGATTCCACGTTTTCTGATGCTCCATGGGCTGCAACACTTTGCAGGCACCAAAATCATGCAAGTGCTCCTTCATGAGCGAAGTATGGAAACGATGTTGTCAAATATTCCTTATTATAACCGAAGGCATAGAGCCAGGGGACACAAGATCCGACACTTTGACTCGAGCCTTCTCGCATTAATCACTTGTGCAAGTTGTTTTGCCCGGAACGATAGCGACGCTGCGTGCTGAAAGCAAAGTCAGCCAGCAATGCCTTGCTGAGACAGGACATGCACGCACTCATTCTACTCGGTCGACGTGCAAATACACTACATTACACTCCGTCCCGAAAAGGGGGGCCTTTTGTTCTCGGCAAGTCACAACCTGGCTGAGGCACAGACGTCTTCTTTCCTTGTAAATTGCCGCTCGTGCAGAGTACAGAGCTGTGCGTAGGCCCAGTGACTCGTGCTGCCAAAGCCGATCCCGGACCTCGAAGTTCCCAGAAAAAGCCCCGTCGAATTTCGGGGACCACAGCGAGATCGCCTTGCTGCATGCTTATAATACGCTGTGCGTTCAGGCTTGAAGTTGCTGACATGAACTGACCATGAGATGGCACCGATGGCCAGGGCCCGTCCATTGAAAATGCAGCCCCCTTCAATGCATCCAGCCGGCCCTGCGCTGTCCTACTGCACAATGCCATTCAGGCACAAAGAACCGACATAATAGAAGGCAGGAAATCCGGAGTGCTTACAACGTGCATGGCTGTTCATAGCCCCGACTCAGACCACGTAGTCAACATGAGGCCCCACATGACATTTCTCGTGTCGTGAACGCCATGGCGAGCCGCTTGAGCTGCCGACGATCAACTATCGGCCCTGACCTCACTCCTACTGAGTCCTACTGTGGCCTTTTGTGGAACCGGAGCCTTGCAGGATTGCATCAGCCCAGGCCCGAGGCACTCGCTGCTGCTGAGACCATCGGAAGAGGTTCCAACTGAGCTTCGCGGATTACCAGAAGAGTTGAGCAGGTCGCTGACTGAACATGCCAGCCTGAACCATGACACTGGACCAAACTGCCGTCAGCATGAAACTACGAAACCCTAGGCGCATTGCCGCAGCAACATCGGAGTCCGAGCTTCGAGACGTCGCAGGCGAAGTGCATCGGAGCCAACTTTAGCGAATCCTGTTCTTCTGTGGTGTATTAAGGCTGAGGTAAATCTCAAACACACCCCCGGTACGAAACGCAGCCAAGCCCGAAAACGCGCAGTAAATGGCTGGACTTATCTGGCACCCTTCAGTTCTGCTCTGCGGGAATGAGGGACCGTGCAGGACGCAGCAGGCTCAAACTGGGTCTATATAGGCCCCTGCACATTCCGCTGCACGAGCTCAGGTTGTGGAGGAAGCGCTCTTACTGTTGGCACCTGCAGCTGCAAGAAGGTGCGCCTTTTTCAGTAGCCTCCAAAAGCTGCTTCCAAGGACCACCGCGGTTTGATCAAAGACTTGGACAAGATTTGGCCGACAACACGCGCCTGCAAGCAACTGGGCACCTCCGAAGTCTTGACCCTCACATCCGCGATCAAGATGTCCTTAGCCTCCACCCTGCGGGACACAGCTCAGCGTGGGGCCATGCCACGTCGGAAGGTCTTAGTGCCTGGATATACTTCGTCAGCGTTTCGAGGTTGCTTTTTGTATTTGTAGCATCAAAGCGCCACCCTCGCGAGGATCCCGAATCTAAGGCATTGTTCAACTTCCTTGCGGAGCTCTGTTGGGCCAACTACATGTGCCCGTCCGAGCACGCAATTCAGAAGGCAATGCATTGCCTGCTGGACACAGCCTGGGCTCTTACCGAATGTGGCAACTCTGAGCCGGCTGGGTGGTACTTAGATCCAAAAAGAAGATAAAGAAGTCCTAGCTTCAGGGTTTCCTTCTGGAACTGAGCTGAAGGGCGTTGTGGTGCTAGCAAGCGTGCAAGTCTGCAATGTGTGCGACCCAGTCTGGAGCCTAAGGTATGTGGAGTCTTGTGCATATTTTCTGGCTCGCGTGGGGGAAATCATCATGCTCAATCCCCTCGAGGTTTTCAACGTCTTAGATCCACTGTCGGCGAGTGCCCTCCTTGCACGCTTTAGTCCTTGTAGCCTGTAGTGTGCCGGCCCTGGCAACAGCATGCGAGACAGCATTGCAAGATAGGCCTAGCTCAAGCCGAAGAGGCCCTTCACAAAGCTGCTGTCCTCTCAGGACTCGCATCTCTGGCCCGGCAGCTGCCTCGCCGAACAAAGTCGTTCGTTTGGCTGCTTCTCCGCCGCCGAGAAACGATGTGGTGACTTCTCTCAAAAGTCATAATTTTGCAGCTTTCCCCGCCCTTCAGAAGTGCAGACGTGCTGGAAGCAATACTGACTGTTGGGCGGAGTGCGAAAGGAAGGGAAAGGTCAGTTTAAACGGAGCCGTATGCCTGGGTGTACCTACGGAAGCCACCACCTAATTTCAGATATTTCGGGAGCGTTGGCATCATCAGGGTTGTCTATCCGCAGAAACAAAAACCATGACATTCGCCAAGGTGCTGAAATCTATATGCATAGATATGTGTGGTAGTATGTTTGTTTGCTTTGTTTTGTCTATATCTTTATGCATAGATGTGCTTGTGTTGTTGTCATTGCTTGTTTGTGTGTGTGTTTTCTTGTTTGTATGTTTTTGCGTACCATGCCGTCTGCGCACATAGAGATGACTGTAGACATACTGTACTGCACACCCCTCCGCGGCTTAGTCAAACACGTTGGCTCAATTCAGGTAAAAACCTACATCCTGAAGATATGCAAAATGCACACACATGCAGACGCGAAAGATCACGCACCTTCGTTCATGTGACGTCAAGGCGTAGCCAACCTGGTAGCGGCACCCATGCGTAGCAGGCCTTACATAATAGCATGTACCATACTATTTGCCTTGGCTTTTTCCTTTGGCTCCTTCGCCTTCGAATCAAGTAGCCCATGCATGTGGCATCTTCGGAGACTGCCATGCAGGAGCCAAAGTACTATTGAACTATTGCAAGTGCCAAGTGCCCCAACTATACGACTGGCAGTTTCTGCGATGAGTCTAAAGAAAGTATAGAAGGTATGGCGGCATGACGCTTATATGCCTTACTTATACCCCCTCCCAATAACAGAGAGGCGTTTGCAGGGGTGTTTTATGTGTATGTGTATATACATATTCATAAACACAAACATTTACATATACATACACATACATACATACATACATACATACATACATGGCCGCTGCTGGGTTTCGATGTTTTCGCTAGTGCCCTGACCTGCCAGGTGCGGGCGTCGGAGAGGGTTGGAAAAATACATACATACATACAACACACATACGTACATGTGTACATAGATGCATAAACCTACGTACAGACAAAGGCAGGTAGAAGCTGTTGTGTGTGTGTATATATATATATATATGTATATATGTATATGTAAATGAACAGATAGACATGTATACTATATATGTATGTATGTATGTATAATTGTTTTACTTATGTATTTGCTTGTTTCTTTTGTTGATCCCGGTTCCCGATTCGCCGACCAACCCCCCTTCACCCTCCGCACAACCGCCGTCCCGCCGCCCCCGACCCTTCCCCATGCCTCCCTCCGGTCGCTGCCGCACCCGAACCCTGAAACACCTCGCCGACCGTGATAATACCTAACAGCAAGCAGCACAGCAAGGAGAGTCTGCCAACCAGATGATGACACGAAAGCCCCAAGCAGATCCAAACCGCGAACCAACCGCAAGGCGAGCCTACCATGATGTCACGCCCCGAGCCCCAAACCGCGAGCCACAGCTGCACCAACCAACCATTCGGGGCGGGCGGGAGGCCGGGCGCACTGGCAGCCACTGGCATCATCGTCATCGTCATCATCATCATCATCATCATCATCATCATCATCATCTCTCTCTCTCTCTCGCCCCCCTTCTCTGTGATCATATATACATATATATATATATATATGTGTGTGTGTATCTGTGTGTATATAAACATGTATATATCTCTATATATATATATATATCTCTCTCTCTCTCTACTTGTGTAAATAAATAGATAGATAAATAAATATACAAATATACATATACACACGCAGACAGATATACATGCAGACCTATGATATATGGAGACCTGTAAAGACCGACAGAGTTACAGACAGTGATACCCATGTACATGTTTCGTCCCACCAGGCGTGGGTCTTTGCAGCTGTCCATCAGCCCCAGCTACTGGCAGGCTTATTCTGGAGCTCGCCTCGCCACTCAAATCACAGAGCAAAGTAGCGGAAACAGGTTATAGCTGGAGTAATGTGTCGGAGTTGCTTCATAATGGTAGGTTTTGCAGTTAAGTTTATGGCTTATTATACGCTGTTCTGAAGCGCGACGTGGATAATTCTAAACCCAGAATTCGAGATGCCTTCCGAAGGTCTTGACGGGCCACTTCAAGGGCGACCCAAAGACCTGCTATCTTGCAGAGCTGCCGTGGTGTGCGTGCGCCTCCATTATGCGTTTCATTTGCGAGGGAAATTCGCTGGATGCGGCCGAAGCTGTATGGAGCATGGAGAACTATGGAGAACCTTGGACTTCGATACAAAATCTAAGCAGTTCATCACAGGTTCAGCAGGCAAAGCCACGTTGCATTCATTGTGCAGTCATGGCGAACGGTAAAGATTGGGGGAGTCTTAGAAACCTCATACCGTGCAGAATCCCAGAAGTGTCCTCTGTATCACTGGCAGGATATGCCCTCGACAGATGATTGGCTCTCCGAGTTTTTGGAGCAGCTGCCAGCCACGCCAAAAGCGCGAGAGGGTCCCACGGCTCCACCTGGTTAGAGCTGCAGGTTTTCTTCGTTTTCAAACTGGCGAAGTCTGTTCTTCTGCTTTGATGTAAGGAAGTGAGTGCAGCGAAGCGAATTCGCCAACATCACCCATTGTTCCAGAAAGTGAGTGAGTGCTCCCCGGTGGGGCTTCGTGCACAGCTTCTTGGAGACTGCAAGGCTCAATGATTCTGTTGTACAGCAAGGCCTTCTCAGCACCTGTGCACTACAGTGGTGTGTTTGTGCGTAATTAGTGCACAGCACGTGCACGAAATGAGTAAATTTCGGCACGTGGTAGGCAGCCTCATTATCTGCCGCACGTGCCATTTCGGATGCGAATCGGAGTTTGCAGAAATTGTGTGTTCTTCTCAGTTTTTTCTTGACAGAACTTGCATGCCCCCCTTGATTCCTTCCTTCCTTCCGTGCTTGTGCCGTCTATTCTTCCATCGGTTAGGGACCAGGGTCACTGGGCTGGGGCACAGCTCAGGGTTGACCCAGGCAGGGAACATGCAAGTTCCAGTAGTTCAATGAATTGATTCTGTGGCTCCAGCAGTCAGTGGCTCATGCCCTGCAGGCCAGATGTTCGGCGCCACACAGCCGTTCGGCGCCACTGGAGGAGGATTGCCCGGCACCTGGTATTTCCTGCTTGTCTCGCATCGTAAGACCAGATCGGTCCGCCGCAGCTAGTCATGTAGTCGAGACCTGTCGCTTGTGGGAAGAAACCCCTGTTATGACAGGCCGAGTCCAGAAGCCCGTTGGCCCGACAGAAGCCGCGTGCATGAGGTTCGGTGGCGGTGGCTGCGGCGGCTGCGGTGGATTTGGCACACCACAGATCAAGGATCCAAACACGAATCAGGACTTGCAACGACAGACAAGCTTGCTGAATGGTAGGGCAAGGCTAGTCATCCAAGGCTTCGTCCGATAGAGTACCTGTGTGCATTCGCTTGATGGTGACGTTGAATTCGCACGAACTGTTTTGTTCGGCTTGGGGCTCGAGTGGCAGGCGCGGCTTGGTTAGATATCGTGTTGTATTTCGGAAGGGAGGGTTGAATCCAGGCGAAATTGTTGCAGGCTTGTGTGCGGGTGCATCTGCAGTGATAGATATAAATACACACATACATATATATGTTTACATATACATATATATATATATACTCATGTTATATGTTATATGTATGTACGCATACGGTGCCGAGGAAGAGAGAGATACGTAGGTATGTATGTGTGTATATAAATAAAT